CCGCCGGTGCTCCCGATCAGCCCCAGACGGTCCGCCGCCCGTCACCGCGTGCGCTCCCTCCTCGCAGCCCGCTCCGGTCTCGCCGCCTGCCCAGCAAGCCCGGCTCGGCTCCGGCGCTGCGGCAGCAGCTCGGCGAGGCTCATTTCCATAGACCTGCGGCTCTTAAAGGAGCCGCGTCAGCCCTGCTGCAAACAGAGGCCCGCCGCGCTGTGGGGCCCTCCCCGCCCGTCCGCCCGCCCGCCCGCCGCTTTTCCCCTCCAGGGGCGGCGGCAGGAAAGGGGCTCCTTTTGTGCTTGGGCTCTAGGCAGTTCCAGCACCTGTTTTCCAACGGCTGGGATCCGCTCTGAAACATTGAAGAGTGAGGCTGAGCATGTACAGAGTGCAGCAGTGCTTCATTCGTCAGGAGGCCTTCACACATCCGGTATAATGGCGAAGGAGAGTTTGTGGCCGGCAACTGGGGAACCCTAGCACTTAGTGCCCAGTGCCATAGATTAGTCCTAAAATACACCGAATTTTAAAAGACTCCTGCAGCACATGGGACTGACCCTGAGGAGAAAAATAAGCTGAAATAAACATGTTCATCTTAAAGGTACTACAATTTTTGTTTTTGTCGTTGTTGAAACTGACAGGGCTACTTCTCTGAAAACTCTGAATATTCTTTTATTTACTGTATTTCTTTCCTGCCAAAAACATGGCAATCAAGGTGGCTAACAATAAACACAACTAAAATCTTTTTTGTTGTTGTTAATAACATAAATACAGATTAAATATGTGATTATAAAACACATGTATAAAGAAAGGGTTACCCACCCGGTTAAAATCTCTCCAGCAGCAACCTTGCTTAAATGCCAAAGGCCTGTCTGGATTTCAACAGAAGGCTTTGCCTGCTGCCAATGGAAAGCCATCCAGCCTTCTGCTCAGGTCAACCTGGGAGTGGCCACCAGAAAGGCTTCCTTGGGCATCCCCATCAAATAAGGACTCTCTGCTGAAGAGAAACCGCATATGTAAAGCAATGGTGTAAAGGGTCCCCTTGTTACCCGAGCTTCTAGTCCTGTAAGTCAATTGCATAAGCAGCTGTGTGAGCAGTCATGACATCTGGGGAAGTCTGAGCATGTGATGGACAGTACAGGCAGTGGGTGCCTACCCTTGCATGATTGCCCTTGTCATTTGAGCAGGGCAATAGAATTCTGGCCATACAGGCTTGTGGGTCATAACTAGCATTTTGAACTGGGCCCAGAAACGGTTCAGAGCTGTCGCCTAATCCTTGTAAACCAGCCCTAGGCAACAATTTGGCCACAGGTTTCTGGGCCAACAGTGGTACCTTTAAGATGAACATGTTTATTTCAGCTTATTTTTCTCCTCAGGGTCAGTCCCATGTGCTGCAGGAGTCCAAGCAGGAGATAAACAGTCACTTTGCCCCCCCCCTCCAGAAACAGCTGTGCAACTGGCACACCAGCTTTCATTTATTTATTTTTATATTATTAGGTATAATAACATTTCAAGGCAGTCTGTATAAGCCAGTTGTTAGAAAATCGTAGTTTCAGGACTGAAATCCAAGGCTTTGACAGAATCTCCAACTAAGCGGACAGAAACGTCCACGAGAGCGATCAGAAACCCCCCTTGATCCACCAGCTGCCGTCTCAATGGATCCTCTGCCAGTAAGCCCTAAACCCCAAATACTCTGAGTGCTTCCCAGGTATTGTTCGTCTGCAGCTCCCAATATTTCCTACCACTGGCTGTGCTGGCAAGGGCTAGTGGGAACCTCGGTTCAACTGCAACCGGCAAGCTGCACTTTGCCCATCCCAATTTACTGGAATGGAACTAACATCCAAATCATCATCCCTCCAACAGCACAGAAAAACAGGTCCAGCTTGTGGACAGAAGAATACCATGTTTCCCCAAAAATAAAATTTATAAAAATTAATTTTATATTAATTTTTGCTCCAAAAAATGCATTAGGGCTTATTTTCAGGGGATGTTTTATTTTACAGCCATGTCATCTTCTGGTTACTGCACAATGGTGGAGGGCAGGGTTTCACTTAACTGGGGCTTATTTTGGGGGTAGGGCTTATATTACGTGCATCCCAAAAAACCATACTAGGGCTTATTTTCAGATTAGGTCTTATTTTGGGGGAAACAGTGCGGCCAGCCCATAATTGCCATGAAGATTCTAGCTACTCTCAACCAGGTGATTTCATGATGAAACACAAGAAGCTGAAGGGTTTAAGAACTATGCCTAAATTACCCTTGAAAGCAGCAGAAAGCAGACGTTTGAGTAACAAGGCTGGTGGTTCACCCACAGAATTATTGTTCTGTGCAAAAGGAGGACACACTCAAAACCAAGGGAATAGAATCCAAATAGCTCATCACAAGTCTGTGTCTCTGCCCCCTAGATCTTACTTGCTACTGTTCAGAGAAACCAAATAGGCAAAGCTAGAAGAAATGACCTCATGAGCCCCGTCTCATGACCCGTTGTGTAACAAACCCAAACAAGGTTTGTTACACAATGGGTCACCGTTCGCATCTAGGATCAGCTACAAGACGGGTGCAGTTTTTCCACCCAGGAACAAGACATTCCATAGTTTTACTTTAAGCCCAGTAGCCTTTCTGCCAGCCCCCTCAAGCTCTCTGAACTGCAAGACCCTTGGGGAGGAACCAACCCTTCCCTGTACCCTACTCTGCCACAACAGTGTCACTGCCTGTCTCCTACCACAGCCCTCTGCAGTTACAATGGCCACCCCTTGTTTCCTCCCATCTTCCTGCCTTTACTTCTCCCATTTGGACATGACAACCAGCTCCCAGATTTTGGGAACCAAAGAAAATCCTTCTAGACCTGGAGGCATGGCTTGTATGTAGACTTTATCCAGGGAGCCATTATCATTTTTATTATTATCATCATTACTAGAGATGGGCACAAATTGGAAAACTGGCGGTTTGTGATGGTTTGTGGTTCATTTTTCCATTTCATGCCTGGGCAGAGGGGAACCTACCACCTCCAACCCCTCTCCCACCTGCCCGCTCGCCCCCTTCCCACTGCCCCCATCACGTCCCTGCCTGGTCCTGCCACTGCTGCTGCCTCCACTGCTGCCCCTGTTACCATTTTCAGAGATAGCGGCCCAGATTTTCTTCTAAGAGCTGGGCCTGCTGTCTCTGCAGGTGCACACACGTATCAGCTGATAGAGGAGGAGGAGGAGGCAGGACCAGGGAGGCAGGCAACCAGGGGGGGGGGGTCAGCAGGAAGGGGACACTTTGTTTTGTTTCGGCAGAACAGGGGGTTTCATGAACCAGGCTGTTTTTTTTTTCCTGGTTTCTAGTTCACTTCATGCCCATCTCTAATCATCACCATCACCACCCTCATCATAAACTTCCCTATCTTTCAATTATGATAGTCAAGGCAGTTAACAATAATAAACAAAACAAAAAAGGAAACTATCATCTTCACAACCAATCTAAATGCTACAGCATCTGTTTGTACATATGCCATCCTTCCAGGATGAAGTATGCCTAAAGCAACCCACAAAATCCTAAAAACAGCAGAAGTGCTTTGTTTTTGTTTTGTTTTAACAGCTGAAGGTAGGTCTTACTTATCTGCGATAATATCCGCAAAAGGCCTGCTGAAACAAGGTGTTGGCTGCCCATCAAAAGGCGAGATGCCATGGTTCTTTGCAAATCTCTTTCGGGAGGATGTCCTAGATTTCTAGGTTATGGCAACAGGAGAGGCCCTGACTCCCATGCCAACCTGCTACCGTATTCATCTGGCTCTGAGGGGACCTGGAACCGAGCCACAGAGGTTGATCCCAGTGCTTAGGCAAGTTCATGCAAGGCAGACAAACCTGTTGAGAACATGAGAAGAGCCTGGCTGGATCAGAACAAAGCCCTGTCTAGTCCTGCATTCTAGTCTCACAGCAGCAAACTTTGCCTGTGGGAAGGCTACCAGCAGGATATGAGTGCCGTGAAGCACCCTTGTTCCCAAACAAATGGTACTCACTCAGGTGCATCCTCCCTCTGATGCATCTTACAGGAACATATTCCATATGCTTTGAGAAAAAAAGGTACAACCCTTTAACTGCCCCGAATCTGGCCCAATGTGACTTAACTGAGCAGTCCCAGAATCTAGTCTTGTGAGTTAGGAACAAGTACATTTCTCTATCCACTTTCTCCAAATTATGCACAATTGTACACACCTATATCATATTCCCACTTATTTGTTTGTTTCTTAAGCTATGAAATCCCAAACCTTGCAATCTTTCTTCCTGGGGCAGTTGCTCCAGCCCCCTAACATTTGCATTGCTTCTGGAAGTTCAGTTCCCCACTGTGCCTCCTGCAAGTAGAGCC